GCTACTCCACAGCAGCTAGTGCTCGCAGAGGAGCACAGCCAACTTCGGGGCCCATCAGGAAGGACCAAGGGAATAAACGTCTGGACCGCAGTTCCCCTCAGCCTCTGTGCTCCTGGCCATACCTCCCCAGGTTGCTCAGAGAAGGATCTTCGGTGAGATCCCAGTAGGCCAGGCTTCTGGGAAGCAGAGGGTCTGGGAAAGTGGCTCTGGACAGACAAGCGGGAGTGGTCTAGTAGTGTGTCTGCCTAAAGGGGCGTGCATTTAATCACGCAGGTCCTGCCCCCAAAGTGCTGTCCATCCCTCTTTCAGCCTCTGGTCACTGCTTGGCGGCTGACTTCCTGGCTCTGTGGTGTGGGCTGAAGGCAGAGAATAAGAAGTTCCCCTGCCCCTGAGGAGCCTGGACTTGCGGCATCTTGAACATTGTTGACCTGCTATTGTAGGTGCCATGTTGTCCTTTCACCTTTCAGGCGTGACTACATTTCTACCCAAACACCCCCAGCACCCTAACTTTACTAAATCTTTTCCCTTATAATCTCCTAATGTTTCTCTTGTTTTCACAATTATTTCTTCTACATTCAGCTTCAGTGTGGCATCCTGTTCACCAGTCTGGAACTACTCCACTGAGGAAAGCTAATGATCTCATAAGTGTTCAACTGATATGGATATTATTTTATTATATTAGGTATTTCAAAATAAAAGAGACAAAGGTGGAGAAAAGCACCCTTTCTTCTACAAAAAAAAATAGTTAAGGAGCCTAGAAAGGTCTACCTTGACTGTTTATACCTGCTCATATCCAAACAAATTACCTTTTACCCAAGCTAGAAGTGGTGCTCAGAGTAAGGAAGGCACCATTCAAGATTTCAAGGTTGTTTCACCAGTGGATTCAATTTAAGGGCTCTTATTGCTATAGCTTGAAAGAGCTGAAACTGTTCTTGGAGCAAAATGCAGTCTAAGCTTTGGTACTTCCATTCCCATGCTGCAAAGGGAGAGATCCTCATGCTTCTGGAATTTTCCACTCAGCACGTGCTCAATGCTTGTAAGCTTGGCCTCCTACTGTCCACCGCAAGCAAACAGGCCTGAAAGGACCCCTTTGGAGAAGCCAGATGTTCAGAAATAGAGCTGTAAGGGTGAGGAACTGTTGCATTTACCAGAAAGGATGTCCACCCGAGGGGAGGTAAGCTTTCCCACTCAGCAGAAAACAAAAAAGTTCCTTTGAAGCTGACTGAACGCTGTGCTCATTTGGAACATCAGAATCACGGATCTGGCCATATTGGAAATTAGCATTGCTAATGAGGTTTTCAGAGACTCACAGATCATTTTAATCTGCTTAACCTTCTCTATAAATGCTCGACTTAAGAAACTTTGGACTTCTATTTTTAATAGTCTAATAATGGGCTGATGTTATTTTTAAGGAAGTAGCAACAATAACATCATTTTTCAAACAAGAACCATCAAATACTGGCATATTGCCTTATTTTTGTCAGATCAAACTTTGTGTTGTAGGGTGGTAGCCAAGTGTCTGAACTGACTGATAAAATGGAAGGTGAAGACAGTCTGAGTGGCTGCCTGACAAGAGTATTTGTTCTCTGATGACAAATGTGTGGGCGAATATCCAAATATCAGTCACTGTGTGGGCCCAGGGGAGCTGGGCCCTTAAGAAGCACAGGTCAGTATGGTTTGCGCAAAGAGCTCTCCATCATCTCTGACATGGCCTCCTCTCTAACGACGCTTCCAGAATGTTCCGAGTGAAAAGGAAAGACAGTGTATCCACTCGTACAAATGGATCACCTGTCCTTCATATGCCCCTGTTTCAAGGCTGAGTTCCTTTAATAAACTTAGGCTTCTTTTCTGCCGTCTGGAGCCTCACGTGCTCTCATGTTGGCTCACTGATTGATCGTTCGTTTATCCACCAGATATCTACTGAACACCTACTATGTGCCGAGGGCACTGAGAGGATCTTAAATGGATCCTGCCTTGGTAGAAGTCGCCACTGAGAGAAAGGAGATAATCGGTGAGCAAATGTGTAAGCAAGAGCTTATCAGGCAGCACAAAATGCAAAAATAATAATAACAATAATATCAATAAGTATGAAAAGAAACTGTGACACACTCAACCAGGAATACAAGATGGTGTAAAAGGGAGAGCCAGCCAGGGCAGGGAGAGGCTTTTTTGAGGTTAGGTGGGCAGGGAGAAGGACCCTGTGATGAGCAGGTAGCAGAGCTAGAGCATAAATGGCAGAGACACAGGACAAGGTCTAAGGAGAGGGTCTCCCAGGCAGGAGGCACAGGGAGAACCGAGTCAGAGCGGACCACATGGCTGACGGGCCGCGCAGGGGAGGGCTGGAACTGAACACAGCTGATGGAGCCGGATCACAAAGGCTTTGAAGGCACAGTAAAGAGTTCGGGTTCTCCTTTAAGCCGGCAGGGCAGCAGCTGAAGTATCTCTCTCAGGTGAGTGGCATGCTCTCACTCGTGCCTTAGGGCTCAGTGAGGGCTCTATCTGGAGAGGGACTGATAGCAGTAAGAGTGCAGGGGGTTCGTCCTGGGAAGACAGTGGCTGGGGTGACAGGCGAGACTTAGAGGATACAAATGTTTTGTCTGAAACAAAGTACAAGGCAGGAAACACAAACGTGACCAGAAGGTTGGACGGTACCTATTGGCATTAAAGCCTCCTCTACTCCAGGGGAACCGCGTCTCCTCTGGGGACCTTTGAGGAAATGCTTCGATTCAAACCTGAGAAAAACTGACACACAAAGAAATTCAGGGGCATGCCGAGGGCCACAGCGCAGATCCCTAGCGAACCCATGACTGGACTCATTCCTCCTTTCTCCGCAGGGCCTAAGTAAAGGGCCCACACCCATGTGAAACCCACAAGGCTGGGCACGGACCTTGCTGGGCTGGACAAGCTTGTGTCTACACAGGGGCGTGTCCGTGGTGTGAATTTACACAGTGCGAACAGCTGAGGAGTTATCACAGGCCCGTGTGTCCATACGCGGACTCACCGTACCCCGCAGACTGAGGAAATAAATGTCTAAGCACCTTCTCGGGGCAGCCAGGACAGCGCGGGTGGCAGCCGGATGACAGCACCCACGAGGGTCATGTCTCAGCTTTACTAATCGCCGCGCACGGACTTCCAGGAAGCCCCTCACTCCTGGGTCACGGCGTCCTCATCTCAGCTGGAACGGAAATGTAACTTTGTAGTTCAGGGAGGCCCAAGTCCGATGAAATATCAAAAATCGCTGTGACTGTCCCTGGAACGTGGTACATACTATTATGCAGGAGACAGTTTGCTTTCCTTGGCTGAAGTGGGCTCCTCATACTCGAGGGTAATGAGAATGACCTAGGGCCACCCTGAAGAGCTGCACAGCACGGCCCTGCCATACAGGTACAGCGCTGGCAGGAACCAGCCCCTCACCTCTGCACGAACTCTGCGCCTTCCCGCCACTGGCGGAAGCTGTGGCCCTCGGGGCCGTCACTGGACACTCCCGCGCTTGTTCCGCAGGTCCTGAGCGCTGAATGAGGTGCCTGGCGGTCTGCAGCCTTCCTGCTGTCTCTGCGTTGCTCGCTGGCTTCCCTCACTCCCCAGTCTGTTCTCTCTTGATGCGCAGTGACTTTCAGTGAGCTACACAGGTGGCTCGTGGTAGCGCCAATGTGGCTGCTGTAAACAGGGGTCACAGAGTAGGGAGAGCGGAGAATTTAAATACCCTGAAGGTTCACGCGTGAGGAACGAGGGGAGAAAGGAAGCCTAGTTTGCGTGTGAGTTCTGCCTTAGCTGTATTTTATTTCTTTTCCATACCTTCTCATCAACAGCACTATGCAGCGCGACTATGTCCATTTTACAGATGGCAAACTAAGGCTGAGACATTAAAGGGCTTCCTAGGTCATGTGACTAGCAAATGGAGGACCAGGACTAGATCCAGATTGCCTGACTCACCACCACTTTTTGTTTTTCTTTTTCGTTTTGGTTTGTTTGGTACCCTGCCTCTCCTCCCTCTCTGGATTACTGTGTGCACAGGAGAAGGGGCAGAGAGAGAGAGAATGGTGATGGTGGCTGTGTGGTAATGATAGTGGGGTGTGTGTGTGTGTGTGTGTGTACATGTGTGTGTGTGAGAGAGAGAGGGACAGGAAGAGAGAGAGGCCCAAAGACTCAAGACAGATTCCGGACTAGTAAGCGGCTACCCTAATACGCGAGTCTCAGCTGGGCCGTCACCTGCTGCACAGAAGGCACGGCAGACGCACCTGGGCCAGCACCTGTACGAGTGGGAGAGGACCCCGCCTCCCCTCCCCTCCCGGCCGCCTCCCCTCCCTGTGCCGTAGGGTGCTCCCTAGGGGATGCCATCCTCGGGATGCCAGCGTGAGGGGCATGCACCCTCCAGGAATTTGGTGCCAGCATCCCCAAAACACATCCCCTCAGGGTGCCGTGATTTCAGTGCCTGGGAGAGAACAAGCTCGACTCCTTTTTACAGAGGGAACAAAAAGATCCAACTCATTTAAACCTCTGAAACCTTTCTAATTTTGAGATTTTGCAGAAGGCTTTAAGTAGCACTTGTGTGATAAATGAGCACCCAAGTTATAATTTGTGCCTTCCACCATCTCTGGAGCCTGGAAATCCTGATTTCCAGTACCACCACCTTAATGATTATTTATGGACGGCGTAAGAATTCCCCAAATGGGGATCATGTTCATACCCATTCATTTCCATAAAAACAAGGGCAGTATTTTTTTGTAATAAACATGCCAACATTTACCTAATCTATGCAAATCTATTCATAAGGATTTTATAAAACCACTGCTTCCCCCTGGAACCTCAGCACACAAAATCCTGGCTCCTTTTCTCTCTCAGTTTGCCTTTAGGTGCTGTGGGTGAGGGAGGAAGGGGCTCTCCCAGGCAGCCCGCTGGAGCAAAGTGTTTCTGCACTTCCCGGAGCTCAGAGTGGCGCGCGCCACGGTGGGAGCGACCTCCCCACAAAGCAGGCAGCAGCTTACCCGCGGGAAGTATCAGCTTCCTGTGCTCGGCTGTGGGCTGTCACTGTCTACTAATACGACTGGTTTGCCATCTCTCCGCAAATAAGGCAGAAGCTGCTACCTGATTGGTATAACATCTCACTTTCCCTTCGCGTTGATTTCCTTGCTCTCCTCCTGTCTTCATAAAAAGAGGGACAAGTGGCTGGGGCTGTGGACAGAGAAGCTTCGTTTTTAGTATGAGACAATCTCTACTATCTTTCAGGAGAGGGAAGTTGGATTATCAATTCTTTTGTAAATGTGTATGGTGATATTTGCTCCGGTAAGTTTATATCTCTTGATTTATAGTCAGCTCTCTGTGTGTGTGTATGTGTGTGTGTGTGCGCACGCGTGCACAGGTACATTTGGGTTGTACACTTTTCTTTCCAAATATGATTTTTGATATCCTTAGTGATGTGTCTTTTTTTAAACTTTGCTTCCTTTATTCATATGTTTAAACTGAAGAGGCTGCGTTATGTGACAGTATGATGCTTACATTAGCTGTTGAAGGATGTGCTGGGTTTGCCTTAATGTAATGAGGAAACTGTTAAGCAAACTTCTATTTGGTTTTATAAAAATGAAATGTCATTCTACCTCAGCCCTCCTTGGGAGGATTTAATGTCCTAAGTACATTGATTTGCTACAAAATGCTGACCATCTTAAGGTTCTTCACCAGTGGCACAATAAGAACGTCTTAAACTCCATAAATAGCTACCAAATACTACTGTATGATGTGTTGAAAGATATGTACTAATTTCCTAAGGGCTTGCCCAAGGTAAAAGGACTGAGTTTGCCCTGATCTGGGGACACACACCTTTACAAGAGCTGGATTTTTATACAAAAAGTATTCAGATGCTTAAAGCCCATCTATTGCATTCTCTGAAAAGCTGCATTCCAAGTGGCTGATGCTTCTCCTTGGCCTTTCTTTGCATTATATATTTGTGCTACCATCTGTTAAATGCCCAGCCCCAGCTCTGGTATTTCTGTAGCTGAAGCTTATCAGGAGAAAAGTTGCTGTTATTAAATTCAAACTGGTGCAAGATGAGTCTGGCCACCTCTGTTTGGTAATGCTTGCTAAGTGTATTACCTGGTGATCCTCTGCGTTTCATTCTGAGACTACAAGATGGTCTGAATTCTTTGTCGTTAATTCAAAAGTCGGGAAGAAAGTCTATTAATATAATTATCCTAGACAGAGATGATAAGATGATTAACTAATTACGCTAATGGAAACAAACTGATGCTTTAAGCTTCTCTTTTTGTTACACAGTCAACAAATCTGTATGGCCTTTTTAATGGGGAAATGAACGAGAGGATATAACAAAAGTTAAAGGCACCAGGAAGGGGGCTCACAGTTTCTCAGAGATTTCAAAAGCAAAGTTGGGAATCGCACACACGCCTGGAGCTCTTAGGTATAAATTTTTTTTCAGAGCAGCAGCTTTCAGATACTGAAACAGTCTCAGGCAGCTCTTGGGAATAGTTCCGTATGTCTGGGAATGTACTGACCCATGTATCTGCCACCCTTGGGGCCTTCTGCAACCCACATGCCCTTTGCATGCTGGCATGAAGCTACTCATTCTGACAAGTGGACTGAAGTTTGATTAATCTAGCTCAGCCTCAATAGGAGGTAGATCCTACCTGAAGTTTTATATTGCTTTGTTATCGTTCCTGTAAGTCCGTTCATAATAGCAGCCTTGGACATCATGAACCCCTGCTGGAACCCCGTAATCCTTCGCAGAGAGTTGAGAAAACAAACACAACTTTCACTCAAGAGCTGCTGCCAGTTAGGGTCACATGAACTCACCCGTGTTGAGCTGCCCTGTCCCCTCCCCCCACACACATGCAATTTCCCAACCTCTCTTACTGACTTCAGCCACCGTCCTCCTTCCAAGGCCGGTTGCAGCAGGTTGTATGTGAAGCCGTTAGCTACAAGTGGAGCTATCATCTCAAGCTATTCCATACTGTAAATTAATGAAGCTTCAGAGGAGCAGCATTGGCAAGCAGACTGCCAGTTCATTGAAGAGCTTAGGCTCCCACAGGCTGGGCCCCACGGACTTGGGGAGGGCAGCCACACACCCGTGTCTTAAACAGCTCTGGGCCCTTGGCTTGTGTGAGGGCAAATGTGCACTGTCTTTCAAAGTCTCACTTCCGGAAAAGTCCAGAATGCCATGCCCAGAAAAGATGATGTAACCTATTCAGAGGAATTAAATCTGTGCACGTTGGGGAAAATAATAAGAGATGTTTTGAAAAAGTTCACAATGACATCATCTATTCTTTTTAGCAAAATGAAGAATGCAGTAGTTGTTTCCACTTTAAAAGTTCCCACTACATACCTGGCACTGTGCCAGGCATCTTACACGCTTGTCTCCTTAACCAGACAGTCACACTCTGAGGGAGGTAACATCAGTCCCCCATTTTACAGATCAGAGAATGGAGGCAGGGCAAGTGTGGAGCTTGGTCAAGGCCCCGCAGTATTGTGAACAGGACACGGAACCACGGCAGGTCCACTCTGGTTCGGGTTCTTCCTCTCTCCCTTTGCGGGGCAGGGTTGCTTTGTCTGTGAACCCACAACGAATTCCTAGGTAGGAAGGATCTGCAGGAAGTTACAACCATACTCTGTATTTCTATTAGCATCTCCCCCTTCTGATTCCACATCCTCCTTCTCACACTGTGCCTTTGTAACTGCGAGCTAATTACATGTTTAAAACTGAAGAACGTGCGTTTTATTTCTCCTCAATTTGTGCAGCTCCCAAGACGTGGATGTGATGAAAGTGAGCCTGCCTAAGAAGAGATAATATGCAGAGGTGACTGGAGGAAGGTAGTTTTTTAAATTGGCTGAAATAAACCTTTATCCTTCAGTCTTTTAAATTTAAAGTCAAAATAAAGATGCCAAAGTAGCTCAGAGATAGCAATATCTTAATGCAACTAGTTCATCACAGATACAGAACAGAAGAGGAAATTCCAATTGAATTGATGTATTTGCAGAGAACTCAATAGAATTTTCCCCTGCCTTTTACTCACACCCTCTCCCCAAGATCTTCATGCTGCGCCGTGGCAGGCTGGAAAGGGCTGAGGTGGCACTTGCCAGAGAATATTGCAAAGCACCTGGACCACCTGAGTAATTAAAAAAATGAGCACAGCTGTCGGTGAGGGAGCTCACAAGCACGGCAAAACAGAAATTGGGAGTCCTCAGATGCATTCCTCTGCACCTGAGCACTGAGCTCGCTTTCAAAATCCATTTGTGCCAATAAAACCCAGATGAATCTCACAGAGGAGAAATGTAAATAACACAGAAGAAATACGCTTGAAATTTCTCCTCCAGCCAGCTTTTAGTCTGGGTGGAGAGTGCACCAGGCTGGAAAAGGTTGTATTTCCTTCTCTCCCACGAATGGGAAACTATGAGAGAGAATTACGAGCGGCGAAAATGTTGCTGGACAGTGGAACCTAGCTCAGGACAACCCTGTTATATTTTACCAAAACTGGAAGAATCTTAAAACACTACTCACCCCAAAATGGGAGCACCATCAAGTTCTGAAGTGGGTGTCACAATATGGACTTCTTGATATGATCTGCTATATCTAATAAGCGATAGCTTTTGAGGTACTGCCTGTGTAGACACCTAGTTGATCAAAAAAAGTTCAGAATACAGCACACAATAAAGTGTGTTTCGAAGTCATAGTCATTTTTGTCAGAAACAAGCTTGATAACTCATTGATTCTACATTATCTCTTTCTTGTTCCTGAAAAAAAATATAATTGGGTGGTTTAATCAGAAAGGGTGGTATTAGAGCCATTCCTGACAAGGAAATTTAAATCTGTTTGCTTTTTCCAAGAATATTTATGGAGGTTCTTAATACACTGAAGGCTGTCAAATGAGAACATCTACTTTAATGAAATATGTTGTGCTCAACCACCGGACTCATCAAATATGTACAGACCTTTAAGACTAATCTTAGAAACAGTTTTATAAGGTGTATGATGTTTCAGCCTCTAGCCAGCAGGTTTTACCTTCTGCAAAGAGTTAACCAAATCCTAAACCCATCACAGTAGAGAGTATATCCCATCTGACCTATGTGTTCCTCTGCCATTTCTTTGGCTATGGGTGTGTGCACTTAAGTATACTGACCAAGAGTGCTTTAAAATAATCTGTTAGGTATGGAGAAAGTGGCTGATGTTAATCTACAGTGCGTGCTGGGCTGGTCTTGAACTTTTCACCAAACGTGCATGCTAGGCTGACGTGCAAATAGCGCTGGTGGTGCTGCTGCACCCTTGGAGGAGAAACTAAAACCCGTGAGTGTTCTGATCTTGAAATCAGTGCGAGAAGTGCTGTATTTAATCCTCTAGCAGAGGCTGTTGGTCAGCGGTGAGTCTTCAATGTTTACAGAGGAGGGCTGAGTGGAAAACAGGAGCACCTCAGGCTCTCCGCTGTGCAGACAGTGGGTCTGCATAACTGATATATTTTACAGTGATCATTCTTAAACGTAGATTCTAGCCAAGAATACTTACACTAAAAGCACTCAGGGGCAGCTCCAAACACATCCCTCTACGTTTCCAGAAAGCTGATTCCCAGCACAGGACAACCAGGTCACTAGGAGGCCTGGGGTGGCCAGCGTGGTGGGGACCAGGTCACTGCGCTCCGTGGGCGGAGCTGTGTCGGGCAAGAGGGGTTTCCCCTGCGAGGCCCCGGCGACGCCTATGGCCCTGCTTATGTAATACGAAATTCCTCCCGAGTTACCACACATTGTCACAGTGTAGACTTTCTAGCAAAAACATGACAAATATTTTAGGTTTAGTTTTATCTCTGGTAAAATGTGTCTCTGAGAACATGTATGGCTAATCTGAATTGTTACTGCAAAGACTTTAAGTCACCGTTTTGACGTCCACTTCTCGGTGATGAACCCGCATGTCCTTACTGGCTTTGGATCTCCATAAGGGAGTGAGTGGATAGGATTGTTCAAGACCTCTGCCGTTCAAGCCATCTTCCCACCGAACTGGTAGTAAAGGCGGTACAGTACTAAATGGGAAGGAGACTTGAGGGAAGGGTTGGGATGCTGACTTCCGTAGGTTATCCTTTCCCTGAACAAAAACTTAGGGATCCCTGCCACGTGCCAGGCACCGTGAGAGGCAGTGAGATTCGGGATGGACACAGAATCTAACATCCGCACTCCCAGAACTGAGGGTCTTCCGTTTCCACTTTCTCACCTAAATCTGTTTCCACCTCAGCACCCAGAATGTGTCTTCTTAAAGGCACAGTTGAACATTTTTAGGAAGTATGTGCTTTTGGTCT